ATTCCTGCAACATGTTTAATAAATCACTCAGTATGAAGAGTCGTCTGAAGACTGACCAGTGCATATATCATGGGGCACTACGTTATTCCTGTGATGTGTGTAAAAAGTCGTTCAGCAAGAGAAATGATTTGATGAGACATCAACGTATACATAGTGGAGAGCGGCCATATTGCTGTGATGTGTGTAATAAATCCTTTGGTGAGAGTAGTAGCCTGAAGAAACATCAACGTATACATAGCGGAGAACGGCCACATTCTTGTTATGCGTGTAATAAATCCTTCAGCCAGAAGAGTGCTTTGAAGAGACATCACAGCGTTAATATTGGAGAACAGCAATATTCTTGTGACTTGTGTAATAAGTCGTTTCGTGAGAAGTGCAGTCTGAAGGTACATCATAGCATACATTGTACGGAACGGACATATTCATGTGATGTGTGTAAGAAATCATTCAGGGAGAGGAGAACTCTGAAGGTACATCAGCGCATTCATACCGGGGAGCGGCCATATTCGTGTGATGTGTGTACTATGTCATTCACTAAGAGCAATCATCTGAAGAACCATCAACGCATACATAGTGGAGAGAGGCCATATTGCTGTGATGTGTGTAACAAATCATTTAGCCACAAGAGTGACCTGAAGGTACATAAACGCATACATAGCGGCGAGAAACCGTATTCATGTAATGTGTGTAATAGATCATTCACCACAAGGAGTAATTTGAAGATTCATGTTCGTGTACATAGTGGGGAACGCCCATATTCCTGTGATGTGTGTAACAAGACATTCGGTAGTAAGGGTGCTTTGGAGAAACATCAGCGCATTCATAGTGGGGAACGCCCGTATTCCTGTGATGTGTGTAAGAAGTCATTCAGTCAGAGCAGTAGTCTAAAGGTGCATAAGCGCATACACAGTGGGGAATGCCTATATTCCTGCGATGTGTGTAAAAAGTCATTTAGTCAGGGGTGTTACCTGAAGATACATCAGCGCATACATAATGGGTTGCGACCATATCCCTGTGATGTCTGTGATAAGTCATTCATTAGTAAGAGTCGTCTAAAGAAACATCAACAGACACACAGAAATGAGCAGTCATGAATAATTGTAAGTTATCAATTCAATAATTACCTGTATTCATATTTCTGTGATTCATCCACTAATCCCATGCATATATTGTGCAATGCAAGGCATGACACATTTTTGCTGTTTCTTGCCCTAAGGCTTTTGTATAGTAATTACAAATGTTGAAAGTGGAAAGTTGTAGCTGCTGTATGGCAAAATCTCTTCCCAGGCAGTGCAATGAGAGAAGATACTTGCAAGAGACCTTCATAATGGACATACATGACTGGGCAAACACCTATTTGGTGAAATTTCAGATTCACATGGCTGTCTTCTTGGTTGTTGCCCCATGCATTCAGGTAGAAGTTTACCAGTGTTTCAGAGCAAGTAAGTGCTTAGATTATTCAAAGGATATTTTTATAAACATTACACACAAAATTGTCCTGATATTGTTAATATTTTCATTCAGAAATTGTTTCATGATTAAGTAATTTATTAACTGTATCCATCTGTAAAAAAATTATTGCATGAAGTGAAGGATTGGTTTTAACAAACTCGGATCCTGATTTTCACATCGTGTAATTCAGTATGTAAGAACACATTGTGTAGTTTTAGAGTAACATTTCACTATTTGGACTGCACACTTCATATATGAAAAAAAAATTCCAAAGACTGTCTTCATATTGGTAAAATGTCAACATACACTTACAAACACAACAGAATTTGTAATATACTAGATATTTTCTTGAGAAGCAATTTTGTCACTTTTTCTTGTTATCCAATGATGAAGCAGAAAGTTCAAAATTTCTAGAATTTAATAAAATTCAGTGATTTGTTATGGGATGTCCAGTATGGATTTGAGAATGTTTCTTCAAGGATTTTGAGAAAGCAAAGGATTTCATACAAATACTGCAGACGTACGGCTTCTCTCCAGTATGAGTACGATAATGTTCCTTTAATACCTGTGTATCGTTGAACTTCTTTTCGCACACTGTACACTTATATGGTTTCTCACCAGTGTGTATACGATGATGTTTTTTCAAAACCTGGGACTCATTAAACCCTTTATTACAAACATTGCAAACATACGGTTTCTCTCCTGTATGAATGCGGTAATGAATTTTTAGTTTCCCCGGTTTCGTGAAACCCTTTTTACATATTGGACATTCGTGAGGTTTCTCCCCAGTGTGGGTGTGGTAGTGTCTTTTGAGAACCTGCGATTCTGAAAATCCTTTTTTACATATATTGCACACGTATGGTTTCTCCCCTGTATGTATACGATAGTGAATTTTTAACTTCCCTTGCTTTGAAAATGCCTTCTTACAAACATCGCAAACATGCGGTTTCTCCCCGGTGTGTATACGGATGTGTATTTTTAAGTCGCCAGAATATGAGAAACCTCTGCTGCATATGGTACAAACAAAAGGCTTTTCGCCAGTATGTGAACGAGAGTGCACCAATAAATTACGAGATTGTGTGAATTGTTTTCCACATACTTCACATACGTATGGTTTCTCTTGCAAACAGTAATGTTTTTTTAGAGCCCAGGATCGTGTGAAACGTTTTCCACACTCGTGGCACATATGTGGTTTACCTTCAGTACTATTTTGAGGGTGTTCTTTCCTGTTGCCATTAAAGGTTGATCCTGTATCACATGTTTGAAGCTGCTCTATGTTATCTGCAAGATTTATAGGTTCTGGAGTTTCTTTGACATTACAGTTTTTACAGACCACAGATTTAACGTCATTGCTTGTCAATGCTTTAGAAACCTTGAACACAACACCACATTTAGTACAGTTGGAAGTATGAACATCTGTAACAAATTTCTGTTTCTTGAATCTGCCCCTAAACTTGTATTCTGTTCTTGAAGCCATTGTATTGTTACTTGCAGTAGATTCCATTTGTGGACTCCTATAGCTGCAATGAGAAACAGTACTTTTATGACAGTAAAACTAACTAGTTTTCTTTGAAAATTTGCCATTTCCTGGGGAGGAGAAGGTAATAAGATCATAATGTATGAGTCCATTAAAAAACTTGGGGGAAAAAGAAATAATATCTTGTCACTGGGGAAGTTCACTAATATACCTCCAAAGGTTCTTGATCTGGTAAGATCTTTGAGCCCAATATTTTATATAATCACCCTAATAAGCTTTGTACTTGCATAAAATACAGTTCCAGGCTAATTAAATCAAAAGATAGTGTGCATAAAACTTATTATTTTCCCATTAGTACATTTTACAGTTTATCAGAACAGTAAGATACCTACTCAGCACGTAAATTGTGACACGGCTCCACACATCCCTGTATGGTTTTATCAGTACTAATCTGCTGAAGTCCTACGTCATCCTCTTGATGAATCTACAAGAAACAAAGTTACAAATTATTATAATTTGCATTCAAAATCAAAATAACTTTTAAGTTAGAATTTCCGGTATTGTAATGCAAAAATCACTTGTGTGAATGCAATCTGGATTAGGATTAGAGGTTAATCTAACTGATGTTTACAAAACCATATTTCTTTTATGATCTATTTTAGTGTTATCCCTTTTACTGTTAGGTTCTTTCCCAGTATTTTAACCTGTGGAACACCTACCTTATTTTCAGGCTCTACTGAAACATAAGTGAATCATTCCTGCAACATGTTTAATAAATCACTCAGTATGAAGAGTCGTCTGAAGACTGACCAGTGCATATATCATGGGGCACTACGTTATTCCTGTGATGTGTGTAAAAAGTCGTTCAGCAAGAGAAATGATTTGATGAGACATCAACGTATACATAGTGGAGAGCGGCCATATTGCTGTGATGTGTGTAATAAATCCTTTGGTGAGAGTAGTAGCCTGAAGAAACATCAACGTATACATAGCGGAGAACGGCCACATTCTTGTTATGCGTGTAATAAATCCTTCAGCCAGAAGAGTGCTTTGAAGAGACATCACAGCGTTAATATTGGAGAACAGCAATATTCTTGTGACTTGTGTAATAAGTCGTTTCGTGAGAAGTGCAGTCTGAAGGTACATCATAGCATACATTGTACGGAACGGACATATTCATGTGATGTGTGTAAGAAATCATTCAGGGAGAGGAGAACTCTGAAGGTACATCAGCGCATTCATACCGGGGAGCGGCCATATTCGTGTGATGTGTGTACTATGTCATTCACTAAGAGCAATCATCTGAAGAACCATCAACGCATACATAGTGGAGAGAGGCCATATTGCTGTGATGTGTGTAACAAATCATTTAGCCACAAGAGTGACCTGAAGGTACATAAACGCATACATAGCGGCGAGAAACCGTATTCATGTAATGTGTGTAATAGATCATTCACCACAAGGAGTAATTTGAAGATTCATGTTCGTGTACATAGTGGGGAACGCCCATATTCCTGTGATGTGTGTAACAAGACATTCGGTAGTAAGGGTGCTTTGGAGAAACATCAGCGCATTCATAGTGGGGAACGCCCGTATTCCTGTGATGTGTGTAAGAAGTCATTCAGTCAGAGCAGTAGTCTAAAGGTGCATAAGCGCATACACAGTGGGGAATGCCTATATTCCTGCGATGTGTGTAAAAAGTCATTTAGTCAGGGGTGTTACCTGAAGATACATCAGCGCATACATAATGGGTTGCGACCATATCCCTGTGATGTCTGTGATAAGTCATTCATTAGTAAGAGTCGTCTAAAGAAACATCAACAGACACACAGAAATGAGCAGTCATGAATAATTGTAAGTTATCAATTCAATAATTACCTGTATTCATATTTCTGTGATTCATCCACTAATCCCATGCATATATTGTGCAATGCAAGGCATGACACATTTTTGCTGTTTCTTGCCCTAAGGCTTTTGTATAGTAATTACAAATGTTGAAAGTGGAAAGTTGTAGCTGCTGTATGGCAAAATCTCTTCCCAGGCAGTGCAATGAGAGAAGATACTTGCAAGAGACCTTCATAATGGACATACATGACTGGGCAAACACCTATTTGGTGAAATTTCAGATTCACATGGCTGTCTTCTTGGTTGTTGCCCCATGCATTCAGGTAGAAGTTTACCAGTGTTTCAGAGCAAGTAAGTGCTTAGATTATTCAAAGGATATTTTTATAAACATTACACACAAAATTGTCCTGATATTGTTAATATTTTCATTCAGAAATTGTTTCATGATTAAGTAATTTATTAACTGTATCCATCTGTAAAAAAATTATTGCATGAAGTGAAGGATTGGTTTTAACAAACTCGGATCCTGATTTTCACATCGTGTAATTCAGTATGTAAGAACACATTGTGTAGTTTTAGAGTAACATTTCACTATTTGGACTGCACACTTCATATATGAAAAAAAAATTCCAAAGACTGTCTTCATATTGGTAAAATGTCAACATACACTTACAAACACAACAGAATTTGTAATATACTAGATATTTTCTTGAGAAGCAATTTTGTCACTTTTTCTTGTTATCCAATGATGAAGCAGAAAGTTCAAAATTTCTAGAATTTAATAAAATTCAGTGATTTGTTATGGGATGTCCAGTATGGATTTGAGAATGTTTCTTCAAGGATTTTGAGAAAGCAAAGGATTTCATACAAATACTGCAGACGTACGGCTTCTCTCCAGTATGAGTACGATAATGTTCCTTTAATACCTGTGTATCGTTGAACTTCTTTTCGCACACTGTACACTTATATGGTTTCTCACCAGTGTGTATACGATGATGTTTTTTCAAAACCTGGGACTCATTAAACCCTTTATTACAAACATTGCAAACATACGGTTTCTCTCCTGTATGAATGCGGTAATGAATTTTTAGTTTCCCCGGTTTCGTGAAACCCTTTTTACATATTGGACATTCGTGAGGTTTCTCCCCAGTGTGGGTGTGGTAGTGTCTTTTGAGAACCTGCGATTCTGAAAATCCTTTTTTACATATATTGCACACGTATGGTTTCTCCCCTGTATGTATACGATAGTGAATTTTTAACTTCCCTTGCTTTGAAAATGCCTTCTTACAAACATCGCAAACATGCGGTTTCTCCCCGGTGTGTATACGGATGTGTATTTTTAAGTCGCCAGAATATGAGAAACCTCTGCTGCATATGGTACAAACAAAAGGCTTTTCGCCAGTATGTGAACGAGAGTGCACCAATAAATTACGAGATTGTGTGAATTGTTTTCCACATACTTCACATACGTATGGTTTCTCTTGCAAACAGTAATGTTTTTTTAGAGCCCAGGATCGTGTGAAACGTTTTCCACACTCGTGGCACATATGTGGTTTACCTTCAGTACTATTTTGAGGGTGTTCTTTCCTGTTGCCATTAAAGGTTGATCCTGTATCACATGTTTGAAGCTGCTCTATGTTATCTGCAAGATTTATAGGTTCTGGAGTTTCTTTGACATTACAGTTTTTACAGACCACAGATTTAACGTCATTGCTTGTCAATGCTTTAGAAACCTTGAACACAACACCACATTTAGTACAGTTGGAAGTATGAACATCTGTAACAAATTTCTGTTTCTTGAATCTGCCCCTAAACTTGTATTCTGTTCTTGAAGCCATTGTATTGTTACTTGCAGTAGATTCCATTTGTGGACTCCTATAGCTGCAATGAGAAACAGTACTTTTATGACAGTAAAACTAACTAGTTTTCTTTGAAAATTTGCCATTTCCTGGGGAGGAGAAGGTAATAAGATCATAATGTATGAGTCCATTAAAAAACTTGGGGGAAAAAGAAATAATATCTTGTCACTGGGGAAGTTCACTAATATACCTCCAAAGGTTCTTGATCTGGTAAGATCTTTGAGCCCAATATTTTATATAATCACCCTAATAAGCTTTGTACTTGCATAAAATACAGTTCCAGGCTAATTAAATCAAAAGATAGTGTGCATAAAACTTATTATTTTCCCATTAGTACATTTTACAGTTTATCAGAACAGTAAGATACCTACTCAGCACGTAAATTGTGACACGGCTCCACACATCCCTGTATGGTTTTATCAGTACTAATCTGCTGAAGTCCTACGTCATCCTCTTGATGAATCTACAAGAAACAAAGTTTACATAGTATTATAATTTGCATTCAAAATCAAAATAACTTTTAAGTTAGAATTTCCGGTATTGTAATGCAAAAATCACTTGTGTGAATGCAATCTGGATTAGGATTAGAGGTTAATCTAACTGATGTTTACAAAACCATATTTCTTTTATGATCTATTTTAGTGTTATCCCTTTTACTGTTAGGTTCTTTCCCAGTATTTTAACCTGTGGAACACCTACCTTATTTTCAGGCTCTACTGAAACATAAGTGAATGCACCTGACTGATCTTCTTCTTTTATAGCAAGCTGTGAAATTGCACTGTGAGAAACCAACAACAGTGCTTCTCTGTCTATGTCTGGTTCCACTTTTATTACCTCCATGTCAAACTGTGAAAATTAAACCAAATAATGGAATTTATTGGCAGTTCGTGATAAATCTTATTATGTGTGGTCACTCTGCCAAATGAGCCAAGTAACATGGTATATACAGTATACCTTGCTTCATCAACTGGCTTAGTGAATCATTGATCATAAATTTTACTGAACAAATTATTAGAACATCAGCTGCCATAATCATAAATTAACTACTTGTGTTCAGATGCATGCTTCATGGCCTGGTTGCTGTATTTAAATGGACATGGGCTAAGAGTGCTCAAGTTACTTCATCACAGTGATGCTTTGCCATGTTACGTTTTTACAAATCAGGCTGTTATGGCAACACAGCAAAAATATTCATTATGGTTTATGTTCTATCCTTTGAAGTACATGTTGGGTAGATGTACTTACTTTGAGAAATATATCAAACTGGATATGCAATTTCTAGTCCATTCTTCTGTTCATTAATATATGCTGGTAACTTGTCTAATCTGCTACACAGTTTGCTTTGCTTGGAGAAAAAAAAGCAACCTAAACTCAGCTGTCACAGAGATAGCATGAAGTGAAGTGGTAAGAAGCTTATGAGTTCTCCAATGTGACATATTTCCCTTCTCTGTTAAATTCTGCCAGTATTCCTCATGGATGAAATGGAATAACACATCCACAGAATGACCTAATTTTACTGTCTGGCCAAAGAAGAGTTGTTTTAATTAAAAAATAAAAATTCGAAATGTATATTTTACATAAATACTTAATATTTTCAATTCATACAATGGCTTGTTATGAACAATGAGCTGTCTGGCGTATTCTGGTACACAACAGTGAGAAAAGGGAATAATTACTTCAACTTGTGCGCCCGATCTGCTCAAACTTTGTTATGAACACATTACGACTATTCCTTGTTTCTACATGGTTATGTCACACATCACTTAACCTCTAATCCTAACGGATAGAACTTGCAGCTCCTTGCCAATTCCTAACTGCTGATTATGTATTTATCATCCAGCCAGCTCTGACTAGCCCAACAAATAGTAACAATAAAAACGCTTAAAAGCAAGATAAAATGTTACGAAATTTAATTGTGAGAGCAAGAATCCGATATTTTTTTTTAGTGGAGTAGGTTATTAAAGACTATGTTGACACATGTTAAAGAATGAAGTTAACAGTTTCAGCAGTGTATCGTATACTATGAATGTTTAGTTGGTATTTTTGTGATAATTATTTTCGATAGGTTGTGAATCGAATTATACCCAATAGGGAATTTGTTGTGCCTAATTCATAATAGTATCACATATAATTAAGATGAGGTGAAGTGTGTTTCAGAAGCAAATATTACAGGTATATGTTTGTTTATTTAACAGCATTGTGGTTTAACAGGATCCGAGGTTTTCAGAACGATGTGGATATAGTTGGTGGCCGTTGGTCGTTGTGCCGTGTGTATTTGGTTTCGGAGGGGCATTCCACTTCTGTATTTAAGACTGAAGTTGACAATCTATATGCAGCATGAAATGAAAGTGATACAATGATTGTGAGTGAAGCATTTTCCAGGTAAGATTGATAGGCAATAAAAACAAACTGAACCGCAGTCATACAAGTTGAGCCTCGTGCATGGTACCACGACTCTGCCTGCCTATTTGACACATTTAAACATGCCTTCTTGCAGAAAATATTCAGGCCACAGTTTTGACAGGGAATAAGTGAAAGTCTCAGAACACCTTAAAGTCAACATTGATTATTCATTGCTGGTAGATGGTATAATTTTTTTCTGGGTCACATTTGAAGCTGTGTATCAGTTTGGCAGTTTGAAGTCTCTTTTGATATCTGTCCAGAGTGGTGATTCCTGAGTGAGAAATCTATTTGAATATTTACACCAGTCATGTATTTGTTTCATAAAGCGATCATAAATTAAGTTTGTTTTGGTGATGCCACAAGCAAGTCCAATTTCTTGTTTTGTTTGTTCATCAAGTTTCCTGTCAGTTGCCTGTCCAGTAAAAAACCAAAGCTTTGCCAAAAATTCTCTGTAATGTGACAAATCCCCTAACTGCTGTAGCTCTTTTAGCAGCTTGTTCATTTCAATTATCCCAGGAATGGTTTTGGCGTTACTGTTCCAGACTTTCCTGATGAAATCTAGCAACTCTTCCTGTGTTGTGAGATTTGAGTTGTAACGTGAGCCAGCCAGCAGTTGTTTGTATCTTTCAAGGTTTTGGAACATTTCGTAGATATCAGGGGATTTATTTTCGGTGAAGCTGAAACAGTTTCCTCCAGAGTAAAGCAGTTTCTGCCAAACTGTATTGCCTTCATTTCTTCCATTATCATGAGACATTTCAGCATTTGTGTATACAATAAAAATGCAGTCTTCAAATCTGCCTTGGCTTTGCAAGTACTTATTTTGTGACCATTGCTTCTTCATTTCACATAGTGACATGCAATATTTTAACAGACTGAAGTCTCCTTTTAACTGAAGAAACTGTGAAATCTCCGTATTCTTATTAAAGTGTGAACAATAATTCATTTGAAGGAACAATGTTTGCTCTCCAACTTTCAGTATGATGTCATTAAATAATTGAGGAGTGTGTGCTTGTGATGCCATTTGGAATTTCTGCCTTGTGTTCATGGCTCGAATAGACAGCAGTGCTGCTACATTAATTTTGAACTGCATGTTGGTGTCCACCCATCCAGTTTTCTTCATGTATGTATCTTCTGTGGTCTGTGGGCTAACCTAGAATATGAAACAGATTATAAGTTTTATGTATGTTTAAAAATTGTTCAGATTTGTATGGGATAAGATGACTAGTAGGTCTCTCTTATTTTTTAACTATGATAATTTTATTATGTTCTTATTTTATTACTTACCATTAATTCTTTTTCACATGTTCTCTAATCGTGTTAAACAGTGACTAAGCTGTGGCTTCATAACCAATTGTTTTGCACGACAAAATAATACATTTCACTGATTTCCCTTGAAAACAGAATACTGACTGCCATGTCTTCATGCTTCCTGACAGCTGTTTTTTCCCCTTGGTGATGAAGTGGTCAGATCTGAAGCTGAACTCTGTGATACCAATAGTGCACATAACATTACTCCCACTCCCCCAAATGCTCTCATGGTCCAGTGCTCAAGTACAGAAAATTTAATTTTTGAATGACCTCTAGTCATCGAGTTCAAATTCAACTAACCGAATTTCACAAAACAATTTCATCACATGGAAGACTGGTACATAACATAAAATGTGATATCGTTAAAATATAAAATTTTATTTTAAATGCTTTTCAGTGTGGTAAATATTAATGAAATGTGAGGGGAAAAAATCATGACTCATACGTTATGACGTAATTAGCCTCACAATATTAAATTTGTTTCTGCAATAAATGAACATCAAGGTCAGTGAGGCTTATAAAATTAAAAACAAAAAGGAAAATGTATGTTAGGTAAAAAGATGCGTGGTTACTTACTGCAGGGCTTTGTCGGTTGTAACAGCTGACGACCAGCGGCATGTTCGTCCTGGAACAAAAATGTAGCAAGTTCAGATGTGTTTTAAGATGTGTGTCAGATAGACACGTAGACCCTCTTATTCAGCGACTGCAACGAGAACGATTCTATTCTCTTGGTTTCACACTTGTGCAGCTTACAGATGAATTGAGATGAGAAATTTCCTGGCAATTCACAAAGGTCAAGGGTTAAATTCTGGCAAACAGCTCAGAATTGTTATGATATGTCTACTTTTCATAACTTGTTGGAAATAAAATCCATATAGTTTAATTTGAGCTTTATAAAAGGGAACAAACTTTAATTAGTTCTACAACTTTCAGTGTGGGCTGTTCCTCCACATTACCTGATGTAACTGAAATTATTCCAGGCAAATGGCTGACACGACCTTCCCTCTGCGTATTCAATTTGTAAATAATGCTAAATAAATAATTTAGATTCATTATTTAATGTTATATATAAATATTTTGATGGATATCACTGATTGAAGTCCCGGGCTCTTTAAAATGCAAATTTTCCATGCCTTTGAATGGATTCAGTGAATGTTGTACATCGGTCTGTTAAAAATATAATTTAAATTTTAATTTTCCTTACAGCACACTCCGTCCTTCACTGCCATTGGTGAGACTTGCCAGGTCTAGCTTACTGACTGACAGTTGCCTCTGCAGCTTGCTTCTCTCAAATGTCCGATGCGGTAGCTTCATTTCTCCAGCCATTTGTGTTTTTCCTCTGATGGAGTCGAACGCCGTGTCCACGCTGTAGTGTCTCTGTACTCCACGAGTTCTTCTACGGTTTTCTGCATCCTCACGCCTAGCTTGTTTCCAAAAGACCTCGTGGGTCTCATCTCGCAGCAGATCTTTTGACTCTGCTCCTTTATTGAAATACGACGAAGCACCAACTGTATTCTGGACAGATGCCCCTGTGCCCGGTGTTTCTCCTCCAAGCGTACTCTCATCAGTTTCTGGACTGAGCATGGCTCTGCTGTTTGTATAACTCTCGTTTCCAGATGCTGAATTTTTATCTGTTGATGACTGAATTTCTGTTTGCACTTTGTCAGTTTCAGTGTTTGCATCTGTAAAGTCGGTTCCTCTCGTGACTCTGGTGAGACATCTTTGGCCTTCAGGGTTGTCAGTCTGTGAAACTGAGGGCTCAGTTTTGAGGTCTCCTTCACGTCTGTTATTCTGTGGGTCTCCATAAAATTCCATGTCTTTCTCTGCACTCGGTTCGGTTCCTCTGATAAAGCTTTTGTTATCATTTATGAATTTTTCTAATTCAGTTTCTTTAGCAAACAATTCTTCTTCAATGACTGTCTTTTTGTCAGCAGTTTTCATTAATTCTGCTACTTTCGTCCTCAGACTTATTCCAAATGCTGTGTATTCGTAAGATGGACTTTGTAATGCTTTCACCCTTCTCATTAGCTGCTCCCTAAATTCCTTCTGTGTTTCTAAAACCGTGGCCCTTAACTTTGTGTTTGCTTCAGTCAGATGACCAGATTCCCGTCCCTTAATTAACAGAATCTCCTTCAGCTTTGCATTATGTCCCATCAGACGCTGTGTATCAGAATCCCTTTCCTGCACATTTCTCCCAAGCTCGGAACTTTCTTTTGTAAGTTGCATGAATATCGTTTCTCTGCCTTGTGCATCTTCCTTCAGCTTTCTCGTTCTCTCTGATAAGCTTTGAATGTCCTTGTCCTTGGCCTCAATCTCGGCTTTGAACACTTCACAGGACTGTCTAAGCCCCTTAATTATTTCTTCTCTACTTCGTAAATTTGTTTCTTGAACACTTCACAGGACTGTCTAAGCCTCTTAATTATTTCTTCTCTACTTCGTAATTTTGTTTGCAAATCAGTTGCCTCATCTGTGACATTGTTTTTCTCGTTCTCTTTGATAAATAAGATCTTTTCCAGCTCCGTTTTCTGGCCTTCCAAATTCTCTAAAATTATCTTATTCTCTTGTAACTGATCCTCAATATTTCTGTTCGCGACCTCCTGAGTTTTTATCTGCCTTTCGAGGTCCTGAATCTGGTTCACAGTAACGTTAAAGTAACTTACTAGACCTTCCACGCCCGCTGTCTTTCCTTTTACTGTCTCTTCGTTCTGGGTTATTTCTTGTTTCAGTCTTATCGTTTCTGATTCGCTCTCCTTCAGCAGCCGTTCGCTTTCATCTGTCTGGTGCTTCAATTCTGCTCGCTTCTGTTTCAACATGCTTTCAACCCGAGCGTTGTCTTCTCCCAGGCTGAATATGTTCATTTCCGTTTCCCGAAATTTTTCACCAAGCTCGTCCTTTTGATTTCTCGTTCCTCGCAGTTCCTTTTCAAGTTGTAAATTTTCTTCTCGCAACCTAAGAATTTCTGCCTTCTCGTTTTGCGTGACTTCGCTCAGTCTTTTATTTTCGTCTCTGCATTTACGTATTCCTTGTTCCAGCTCCATCAGTTCTTGGTCAATATTCCCATTTTCCTCCATCACGTGTTGCAGCCCCTTACCCTTTTCCGAAATTTCCTCCGCCAGACTCAATGTGTTTCGCATCCCTTCTTGTAGATCTTCTTCAAGTCGTCCGCTTTCTTGTTCCAGACGTTCGATGTTGCGTTGATCGTCTTGTAGTTGTTTCCGGAGTCCGCAGTTCTCTTCCGTCAATTGCTTTATCGCGGCAGAACTGTCCTGTTCGTTTCTTACCAACGCCGAATTGTCGTCTTTCAAATTCCGCGTCTTCAATTCCCTCTCTTCAAGTTCTCTCTTAAGTCGTGTCTGTTCTTCCTTTAGGCATCCTTCTTCATTTTCCTTCAGCTTTAACTCGTCATTCAATCGCGAGTTTTCTTCTCTTAGGCATTCAATCGTCGAATCGCTGTATTGCAGTTTTTCACGAAGACTTCCAATTCGATCTGTCGCCTCCTCGACCCTGAGGTCGTCTTCCTCCAGTTGTCTCTCGACTTGAACGCGTTTTTCCGTCAGTCTTTCTAATTTACGTTCATTACGCGCAATTTCCTCTGCGACGCCTTCAATTTCTCGTTCTTTTTCCTGGATTATCTTATCATATCGTATATTTTCTTCTGTGACTCGTACACACTCTGATTCTTTTTCTCGTAATTCATTAGCAAGACGTGAATTTCTCTCTCTCAGGCGTTCAATTTCCTGGCCTTTCTCTCGGATTTCTTTACTCAGACACTCGCTTTCTTCCGCGAAGCGACTTATCTCGGGTTCCTTATCGCGCAGTTCTTTACAGAGCCTCGTATTTTCCTCCGCGAGGCGTTTCGTCACTGTTTCTTTCTCACGCAGTTCATTGGTCAGCCGTAAATTTTCTTGTTCGAAGACTCTTACTTCAGACTCCTTATTCTTTAATTCTTCAGCGAGAAACTCGTTTTGTTCCGCCATGTTTTCTGTCTCTGATTCCTTTTCTCGTAATTCGCTGGCAAGACGTGAATTCTCTCCTTCCAGACGCTCCGTGCGAGTTTCTGTCTCTCGCAGCAGATTTGCCACTTGCGCGTTCTCGCCCTTCAGCTGTTCCGTGTGTAGTTCCTTCCGCCGCAGTTCGTTCCTCGTCTGTTCGATTGTAAGTTCCGATTTCGACACCCGCAGCGCTGTTTCGAGACGCGCGTTTTCATCCGAAATGTTTCCCGCCTCCGACCGTTTCTCGTGTAAGTCGCTCTGCAGTCGAGTCCTGTCTTTTGCCAGGCGTCTCAGCTCCTCCTCGATTTCCTCCAGTGCTTTTTCATACTTGGTATTTTCCTCTGTAAACCTTTCGACGTTCTTTTCCGTCTCCTCGAACGTCTGTCGAAGTCTCTCATTTTCCACCGTCAGAATTTCTAGTCGTGGTTCATTTTCTTCGAACGCTCTGCCAAGTCTCCTGTTCTCATCTCTCAGTCTCTCTTCCTCCGTTCGTTTTTCGTGCAGTTCGTGCCGAAGACGCGAGTTTTCCTGTGTCAGTGCTTTTATTTCTGACTCTCCCTCCTCTATCGCCAGAGTGAGCACAGTCTTGTCGTAGATCAGCTCTCGTCCTCCTCCTCCCGTTCCACGATCTTCGTCGCGCTTTCCTCCAACCTCCGAGATGCCGTCTTTTAATTTCCCCTCGGCTTTTCGACGCGGCGACTTCTCGTGTCCCGTCTCGTTAAGCAGAACAACAATTTCTTTGTTTTTGTTCGCCAAGCCGCGAAATTCTTCTTCCATTTCCCGCAACTTCCGGCTCAGGAGTCTGTTCTCTTCCCTCACTCGTTTCGTGTCTCTCTCCTTTGTCTGCATCTCCGTTTCCAGTTTCTTGTTTCCGTCGGAAATAAAAAGAGTTTCTTCGTCTTTCGATCTCATCTCGAGATCCAGGAGATTCCTCACGTCTTTCAGGTGAAATATCTCCGTCTCTTTGTCTTGGAGCTCGAGTTCCACCGCCGAATTTTCGCTCCTCAGGCGCTGGGCTTCTGTTTCCCTCGTCTCCAGTTCCTTCAGGAGCTCCGTCTTCTCTGTTGTCAGGCGATAGATCTCCGTTTCCTTTTCCTGCAACTTTCTGGCGAGCTCGTTGTTACGCTCCCTCAGATCGCGTATTTCTGTTTTCCTGTTTTGCAGCATTTTCCCGCGCTTCGATGTTTTACTCTTCAGCGTCTGGACGTTCATTTCGCCTGTTCCTGCGATCGGCGATTCGGTTTCCGGACCCGTTTCCCCGCGCGCCGGATGTTTTTCTGTGACTCCGGACGCACTCCGAAGATCTCTGACTGCACTTTTCTCGATCGGAATTTCGACAATGAACGAAGTTTCGACTTCATTGTTTGTCGATTCTGAACCCATTTCGCCATTTGTATTTCCCTGGAAAACAAGACCGTGTATTTTTAAGCTTTAGATTTTGTATTGGATTACGTTCTGCAGGTTTACATGTAAAAAGCACGTCTGGTAAAGCCTCTCCTATTCTATTTGCACGTGACTTTTCGTATTATATTACGTTTTAGCAAATGACACTCTAGAAACGACCTCAGTAGCATTAATGTTGCCTGTTGGATGAATTTCCACTAACGTTTTGTACATTACTGATCTGTTCTCGTGTTTAAATGACGTTGTATCAAATGCAGAGTTTGTAAAATGTTGATTGAGCAGTTATCATACTTGAAGTCGATGTCGTGAAGTGTTCACCTGGCGAGATAAGAATACGACAGCGAAGTTTTTCTTACGAAATGACTGTTAGATATTTTATCTCGGGTAATGTTGGCAGCACCTACCGGGGTCGATCGCGGGCCGGGGTTCAGTTCCACCCCGCCGATAACGAGGAGCGAAGTGAGCAGGTTGTCGCAGTTCCAGTATGGGGCGGTGTTCCATGTCGTGTGAAGTGGCACGGGGCCTCGCCACGGGCTGATCCCCATGCGTGAGAAGCGATCTACGGACAAAGCGTAAGTTGTAACGTGCTGTTTGCATATTATTTGCATTAATTATGCACGCCAGACGAGCGAGGGTTGCGATCTGCCTGACGATGGAGACAGTTATGTTCACGGCGATAACTAAGCAACTAATTAACGGGAAATTCCACCCCCTTCCCATTCTCTTATTGTTTCCTAAGACCCATCCTAATGTTATCCTCCCATCTTATTCTTTGTCTTTCAAATATTTGTTTTCCCCAAAAAGATCACTGCATTCCCTGTCTCCCCCACAATTCTTATTGTCTCTATGATTCTTTCTTTCTTCTTTCCTTCCTTTCTGTTTCAGACGCTCGTATAATGTGATAATATTTGCAATCCCAAATTTGCATCGCCACCAAATGTACGTAATACTCTCTCGTTGTTCTACCCTGAGGATATTTCGTCGCTTCTCGTATTCAGAAAGCTAATAGTCGCTCACCTGGTCAAATTCCCCGCGTCTTATAGAACCAGATGGGTTGCAGAGTGTTCTTAAGATTCCACCGAAGCTCTGTCCGACATTTGGCGACTTACTTGTACCCCATGTCCAAACCCCAAGCTGAAAGACTGTCTGTAGCCACCCGCCTTACCTTGAGGACGTCTCTTTTCGCGGTCCGAGGACCAGCACTTGACGTAGAAACTGACCTGAGTATAAATGCGCACGAAACCGGAGCTGGGCGGATTGGAAACAGCTGCACCGTCCAGCAGGAGCTGTGATTAAGATGGTCACCCGGTGAGCCTCTGTGATAGTGTGAAAGATACAGTATCTTGATTGACGTGATAATCTCCCTCGTTTCTACACGCGAAAGGAATGCGATGCAGAGTGTGTCCGAAAATTCTGGCACCAGTCGAAAAATATTTCTACCAATTTAAAGTTATGTTTGAAGACCAAAGTGTTCCATCGAATTCTGTCCTGACACTTATTCCTGGCTCCCAAGATCTACCACAGTTTTTCAGCCTCGCTAATTTGTTTCTGGACGTCAAATATGACACTTCTTTTGCTACGACATCCAGCGATGTCAAAATGTTCGCAGGACTTTCCAGGCTTTTAGAACAGCCTGTAGATGAAACTCATCAATCTTTAGATGCGATGCTTTTTATTATCATTCCTGTCCCTTTTTTTCGATGTCAGACTGTCTGTAGCCACCCGCCTTACCTTGAGGACGTCTCTTTTCGCGGTCCGAGGACCAGCACTTGACGTAGAAACTGACCTGAGTATAAATGCGCACGAAACCGGAGCTGGGCGGATTGGAAACAGCTGCACCGTCCAGCAGGAGCTGTGATTAAGATGGTCACCCGGTGAGCCTCTGTGATAGTGTGAAAGATACAGTATCTTGATTGACGTGATAATCTCCCTCGTTTCTACACGCGAAAGGAATGCGATGCAGAGTGTGTCCGAAAATTCTGGCACCAGTCGAAAAATATTTCTACCAATTTAAAGTTATGTTTGAAGACCAAAGTGTTCCATCGAATTCTGGCCTGACGCCCTTATTTCGTTGTAGCACTGATTTCTTGGGGATGTCGCACGACATTGTAAACTTATTCCTGGCTGCCAGGATCTACCACAGTTTTTGAGCCTCGCTAATTTGTTTCTGGACGTCAAATATGACACTTCTTTTGCTACGACATCCAGCGATGTCAAAATGTTCGCAGGACTTTCCAGGCTTTTAGAACAGCCTGTAGATGAAACTCATCAATCTTTAGATGCGATGCTTTTTATTATCATTCCTGTCCCTTTTTTTCGATGTCCTCGGTTCTTATCTCGTTTAGTTAAATCAGATTGAAATCTTATCACCAAAGACCTGTTCTGATCCTTCGCAGAAATCAGACTCCTCGCTTCCACGCATGCGCGTATTACACAACAAAATGTCCGCCCGGTTGTCACTCTTATTCGCCCTTCTAGTTGTAGTTCAGTTCTGACTCCTCCGCATGCAAATATAACTTTGTTTCTACTAAAATTCATAGGATTAATGATCGGTAGATTAATCTGCAAGGAGATTCCGTTTCCGGTTGCGTACGTCATGACATAAAGATCATTAATTGGCGAGCGTGGTCGCCATCAGTTAAGAAGTTTGATTGTTCCGGGCATTGAGGTTATGTAAGAAATTGAGAATTTAAGTGTCTAGGATATTTTATTTCGGAGTAAAGAATGCGACACTATGAAATTAAGTTTCTGGAGACAAAACATGGTGAAAATCAAATGGACGGACCATCTCAGATAAGTGGTTCAAACGGCCATGAAGATATCGATTGTGGCGTGTTCTAGCGTCTGTTGAAGGAACTAACTGCTGCGTTGATGTGCAGCCATGTGAGGAGTCACAGGTCCATTGACATTGTTTTAACCCGTAATGCAGATCGTAAAATACCTGAGTTGCCTTGCGATGAAGCGTTCTTTCTTTAACAACGCAGTTTCTTTGAGCACAGTGCCCCCTCCTTCCTGCTTGCTAAGGGAATTTAAACCATTTCTGTAGGTGTTCTTTGTATTACTCGTTTTAATCAGCATTTCTCCATTTCCTTTACAACAATGGTTTCTCCTGATGGTAACCTCAAACTGTCTGTGTGTTTTTTTTAAAGATCGCGCTTTGCTGTTTCTGATTCTTTTAGAATAATTTTTGTTGATAATGGAATTGATTAATGTATTCATTGTCCCCGCAATATCATACGTGAGTAACAAATGACTCACGCTATGCTTTCTGCACGCCACTGTTCTGAGTCACGTGTCAGGAGCGTGCAAATTGCTGACCAGGGACTAGACAGTCATTTACTGCAATCGCTTTCTTCGTGTTTCAAACGAGGAGATAACATGCATCTTGGCGATACGTGGACTGCTTTTCTTCTACAAATCTACCTTCTGGGACAACCTGCGCTTCGTGAACACCTCGCAGTGTGCAAAAGTTTCCCAGACGATTCGGCAAAGAATGCATAATTACGTGTTTATAACGTGTGTAAGTAAAATCTACATGAAATTTCAAGAAACCGGAGTGCTGTGACATACACGTTGACAAACGTTTGTGCTGCCATCTTTTAACATCCCCAGTATACAGTCATTCGGGGAGGCAGCAGCCGGCCAGTTAGGCAACCCTATATGCAGTCGTAAAATGTTCCAAAGAGTCGGCGATTGCAACTCGGTAGCGCGACGGAAGGTTGTGCTCGGCGGATTGGCTCGCTGTCTAGCCAGTGTAAGGCCGGATGTCGGCTGAACAGGTTCGTGAGTAGTCGTGTCTTGGCATCAAGTAAGTCGTTCATTGTTCCTGCATTCAGTGTCAAAAGTGCATCGAGAGACGAGCGTTTTGTGACTTGTTCATTTGTTTAGCAGCAAACTCTGTATGTGTCAGCTGATGACTCCATTGTCTCGACGGTCGGAAATCGATTCCTGACGGGGGCACAGGCTTTTTTATTCGCTCCTCGGGCCCGTTCGTCCACCTGCGGATTTTACGTACGACGAAAATGGGCACAGTGTAAATTGTACGGTTACGAAGGGGTTTAGAGTTGTGACACATCGATAAATATCGATATTAATTCAGTGGTGCAATTTGTGGCTAATCAGTTAAATTTAACCCGGAAAGTCATTGTGTTCAGAAGGAACCGTCATTGGGTGATATCACAAGCTCACAACAGTTTCATGTCAGCGTCAGGTTACCCCAAATCGGATATTCGTTTGAGGGTTTCCAGCCATGGTTTTGTCCTGCCAACGTTACGTTACATCCGTCCGTTCTGCATGTCCACAGCGTCTCATCGTTATTGATGTATCCGCGCCAAAAGTTGGCAGATAATTTACTCAAGTCGTGTAAAATCCTCGTTGTCCGACTTCAGATCGAATGTTGGGTTGCAGTTGTCAGGTGTGAGGCTTCCGTCGTCCCCTGGAGGAGTTTGGACGTCCTTGTAATTTGAGGTTCGATCGCATTCTTCGAAGTCTCCCCCCCTGCCCCGTGATTCATGTTTCTGTGACACCGCGTGACCTTCGCTGGCTTATCAGTCTGCAAGTAGATAGTAAGAGACTGGCTGTGGTGTGTTTTAGGAATGACTCATTTATTTGTCGGCAGACTTCGCTTCGCGGATTAAACGGGTTATATTCAAAATAGTTCTGACTATTTACCTCTGAAATTGCGCATTGTTTGCGCCAATATACTTTCAACTGTTTGAAGCACAGTGCCATCTACAGAATGTTCCAGTTACTACACACGAACTCCATTATTAACGAAACCATTGGCGACAGTGTGTTCCTGCTTGCCGTGTTCCATTGTTGTAATTTTATCTGTTTATCGCTATCTGGCCACTTGTCAACGGACAATCGCGTCTTGTGCCCCCAAAAACATTGTTTCCAGTCTGTGTTCTGTCTGATTTAAATGTTATTCTGTTTATAATTTTTTATCTTCTTCTCAGATTAGATAGATACGCAGTCACAGAAGAAATATATCAGACTACAGTAGAGTATTGCCATTGTGTATTAGTTTTATAGACGTGCATTAAAGAGGCATTATCGTCGCCCTGACAGCGCTACAGCGCAGAAGAAAGCCGTGTATCTCAAGTACGTTTCGCGCATAACGGAATGCAAGTTTGGGCAACACTTTCAGACACGACGAAAGAAATGTATCAGGGGAAAAAAAAACGTTCGGTCGCCTGTAAACAGTGGCTTTGTGTACACAAGATGGAGTGTGGGGACGTGCAGCGAGGTTCACAATGAAGCGAGCACGACGTGCCTTACCCCCAACTGCGTCCTATCCTGAGCTAGATGAAACCAATCCACATCATCCCGCTCTATTTATTGAACGTTCGGGTTTCTTACGTCCTCCAGTCTACGCCCGGATGTTCCAGATCTACGGGAGTTTTTTTTCGATTAAAATTGTGTATGTGTTTCTAATTGCTTCCGTGCATGCTATGTGCCTCGCCCATTTCATCGTCTTTCGCCCAAATAATTTTTGGCTGTTCGTAAATGGCAGAGCCTGGCTTCTTATTGTCAAAGCGTCCCGTACCTTTGGATTAATACGCCGTCAACTGGCCAAGTTTTGCTGCCAATTCCAGTGCGATTGTCGACTCCCGCGTTGTGGAGGAATTGGCCAAGGTCAGCGACTTCCTTCTCGCTGTCATGACGTCACCTCTCGACAGCATTTGTTATCAAGGCTGTTGCAACATTGTGTATTTCCGCCTGCAGAAGCCTTTTCGTTCCTATGGAGAACGAAGCTCGTCTACATAATACGTATTTAAGAATTCAGTCCGTACCGCGAAGAAAACACCGCACTTCACCATTTCGATCAGCTGGTTAACGCTGTTTGCCCTGAGAATCTTACGAAACTCGTAAATACAAAACGAAGAGTTGTTGGTCGTCGAAGCAGGTGGTACACATACTTACCACTGGGCTTTAAAGGGCTAAAATGTGATAATGTAATTAATTATTATGATAGTAAAGGACTTCTTTGCGGGTTTTATGTAGACTCGTTGGTAGGAGTCTACAGTATGTTTCTGCAAAAAAAAAAAAATTATGTCCACGTTCGAATCTACACGGCGCCACGATCCAGAACAACATCGAAATCTTCACCGCCTTGAGAACCTCAGAGTACCCACGCGTCCGACGTAGACTTACGCACAGTTTCTTATTCGAGGTATTTATAAACGGAAAACTTGCGACAAAGAAACGTGTCTCGACACAGCGCAGTTGTGACAACCAAACAAATAAAAGAGAACGTTGATTTCTGATATTGGTCGTTGGTTTAATGTGACGGGCTTCATGCGGCCCGCGTGCCTTAGTTGCGAGGTACCAAAGTGCTGAAAGCGGGCGATGTCTTGAAGGAGACAGTCAGTGGGTTTGCCGTCGGACGGGACAGATTGGCTTGCGGAAGAGCCTGCTATTTATATACCAGGGGGGAAGAACACTTCGAAGTTACAGACTGCCTTGTTTCCTTAAGACAAAACGTTACGATTTTTAAGAATGTAGCTCCTGGATTTCGTATTTTATGAACCGATTCGCGAACCTGTAAAGGGTACTTTAAACATTTCAAGGCATTCGACAGGAAATATCGTTACTTTTTATTTGAGTGTTCATATGAAGGAGATATGTTCTTAATATCTGCGAGGTTTGTGTTATAATTTAAATCACAGTCTTCATTGAAAACGTCACGTCACGTAAATATATAAGAATTCAGTCCGTACCGCGAAGAAAACACCTAACTTCACCATTACGAAGATCGACTGGTTAACGCTGTTTAAGGAAATGGCGGCTGTTTACAGCGAGAAACATACGAAATCAATAAGTGCAAAATGTCGCGTTATTGATCGTTTAAGAATTACGTGTAGTTGCTAAGTGAGCTGATCAGGTCGGGAAACAAACCCGGTCGTCCAGCTTGTAGGGTAATCAGCGTGCTGATTGACCCCCCCCCCCCCCCCCAGCATTCCACAGTCCATTTCTTTTGGTCTGAGGTACGTAGAGGTCTTCTTCATATTAGTGGTTATATCGCGTGTGTCTACGCCCTGGAGTCTGGCGTCCAAGAATTCGTGGAAATTCGCTTACATAAAGGACGCTTAATCACATGGGCGTGTGATGCAGATAGGGGAGTATCTGAGAAGAAAGATACGTTCACATGGATAAGAACCACGACTAGGTTCCCAATTTGTGGTCCGAGGACAGATGATGGCCGACTTGCTTCAGAGTGGCCCAGATTCTGGATAATCAAAATGGCAGGCGTTGTCATGGCGATCCATTCAGAATAATAAATAGCCCGCCTCCGTGGACAGCGTCATCTACATTTTCGCAGTTAATAGCGAGTTTACATTAGCCCTGTGTCTGTGACCTCTTGGCACAGCACGATTGACCTTACGAGGCAGATCGTAATTCAGCATCAGATAGTGAAGTTACGTGCTTTAGAATTTGGTCTGAAGCCCTTAAGGTTATCGTTAGTGAAGTCCTGACTTGACAGGACAATTGGACAGGTATTTGGTTGGATGAAGTTCTCGCAGTGCTGAATGTGTCGTTTTGGTCCTCTGGGTTGAACACATTGTGGATTTCTATGTCGATATGAGGGTTTTGAAGCATCATACTGTCATAGTTAGTTCATTTGTTGATTAATTGTTTCATTAGTTTTTTTTTGATAATTGTCCAACCATTGTGAAAGGGTTATTTGCAGCCAACACAGAGTCGGACAGATCTTACGTTAAGTCCGGCCGACCCATAAGGGACAATTTCGCGGTTGCGCTGTCTAGAAAACACATTTCATGTCTTGGTACTAATTGTCGCCTCGTGTCGTCATTTCAGATTTGGATGAAACCAGCGAGACTGCACCATGAACGAAAACAATAACGATGAAGCTCCAGTGATCGCGCCCGGAACTGACATTAAAATCAACAATGCTCTGGGCAGCATTTCTCACATACCACTCCCACAGTGGAAGGCAGCGGTGGAAACGAGACCTCCGAATGACGAGCCGAAGTGGAAATCAAAGTACGAAGAAACTGAGAAAAAGAGAAAATCACTCCTCACGCAGACGCAGAAAAGTAAGTAGTCTGTAAGTTGATTCCACTTCCCCCCCATGGGTGCACTGGGTCTGTCAGACATTTTACAGTGCCCCGAATTTGCGATAACAAAATTGTACTTTCCGATGTATGCGTCGTCGTGAAAATGAGCTAAATCCGACTGATTATTTTAACTGAAATGTTTGAGACAAATTAAAAATTTTTCGTGAATTTAATTTCGATATAGGATATGAAGTTTTCATGTATTGCAGACCACCGAGAATTTGCTGACCTGGAGCGGCGCTACCAGCATCTGCACAACGACCACAATTCCGTGAAGAAACAGCTCGCTGACAAAGACGCTAGGCTTGTGCAATTACAGACAGGTGAGTGGAAAGGAAGATGAAACGCCACGTTTTCTTCTCGACTGATATTAGTAAGATTTTGCTTGTTCAGATAAGTGACGGGTATGTGAGCCCATGAACTGAGTTTTGCTGTGTGAGTTGCGGACGGCGTGTGCTCCAGTTTCAGAGAAGGTGTATCGCGAGTACGAAGCGCTCAAGAACAAGCATGATGTGCAGGCGAGGGTCATGCAGGATGCCATGAAGTCAGCGTCACAGGTAACCTCCCAGGTTTAATTCGCTTTTGTGTACGATACGCAACTACTGCCCCAGGCCTGATTCTGCGATTGCCACTTTTAGTAATTTACATGATTTTTGATTGTAATAATTTGTTCCCCGTAGTGGTACATGCAGAATCGTGAGCTGAAACGAAAGAGTTCGTTGCTTGCTCAGAAATGCCTCAAAGAAGGAAATGTAAGCGTAATGGACGTCGCTGACGAAGCTGACACAGCGACATCTGCAGATGGAGAGTTGGACAATCTTATGAAAACTATTAAAGGTGTGTTCAATTTTGTCTTTATTCTTTCTTTATTTTTGCGCTCATCCCGTAAACGGCGAGCATTCAGAACACCGAGGCACGTGCATTTTCTGCTTCTCAAGAACGCCTTAGAGTTTGTTAATTATTTATTTGTCGGGTGATCGCGCTGTGTAGTGGTGGGCCCGTTTGCTGACATTTCGGAGTATTATCGTGTTGCGTTTGTACCATTTGTATTTTTGCAGGATTAAATCCATGCTAATTCGCGGAGGGGGAAGAGTAGAGGTTAAAAACGTGAACAAAAGCTACATTTTAATAGTCGGATACGCAGCGCAGCTGTGTTCTTGAAAATAATGCCCTTTGACAGTCTAATTCTTCCCTTTGAACTTCCTTAATCCTTTGACCCTTATGAAGACCGTGCGACTTTACAGAACTGACCGACGAGGTCGGACAGCTGCAGGCAGAGCTGAATGGCACGAGACTGCAGGAATTTGAAGCTCAAGAGCATGCAACGAGTCTGGAAAGCGAACTGGAGGCAGAGAGGACTCGGCGGACGACGGCCGAGGCGGAGCTCCACGAGCTGAGAACGATGAAGGACAATCTTGGCCATGTGTCGAGACTCGTGAAGAATGAGATGACTGCGCTTCGAGAGCTGTGTCAACACGAGAAGGAGGAGGCCCAGAGGGTGAAGTTCGAGGCTGACAAGGTACGATTCCTCGACAGAGTGGTAGGTCTTGGGTTAGTGCGGATGGATGGATGAGACAGTCTCTGTACGTGGAGTGCGGCTGTGCGCGCTTGAAAAAAGACGAAGACTGTGATATTTGAGATAACTTTCAATTCTAATGTCTGTTGTTTTATGGGATATCCAAAATAAAGTTCAGAGACTTTAAAAAATTACGCGTGGTTTATAATAATTGCGGTTGTTACTCTGCAGGTGCAGAAGGAACACAACATACTGAAGCATCAGAGCGTGATTCTGCTGACAGATGTGGTGGGAGATGAGAAGCTGATGCTGCTGGTACAGGAAGTGGAAGTGCTGAAGAGATCCCTAGAGGATGAGCGGCAGAAACACGCACGAGAACTGCAGGAGCTGCAGGTATAGATGGGGGGGAGGGCGGAGATTGTGAATTTTTAAATTCAACTGAGTAACTAACTCTTGTAGCCGAACCAGAAGTTTCAGTGCCACTGATAGCGACGCATGCTATTTAATACGGTTTTGAATCGTTCCATCGTATGTTATCAGGGTCTGTCCGATCTATTTTTGTACTGTTCGTGCATTCCCTTCTCGGTCTTATGTTGGCCACTTTCCGTATGGTCGTTCTGTCGGTATTTTTATGCATTTCCTGTACGTGAACATTAAAAGATATTCTTTTCTGAAAAGTGCCCCACACTTTATTTATCGTCATTTCTTCGTCATCGTCCGTTGTTGCAGGAGAAGCTGGAAGAGCAGGAGAGCGAAGCGCAGCTTGAACTTATGGAGGAAAAGTTGCGTCTTGCCGAGTCGGAGCTGCAGTGTGCGCTGCAGCGAGCAGAACAGGCCGAGAAGCGATCTTCGCGACTTGTCTCTAAAGGTAACGTCACATCTGTCGGCCCGTTGAATCAAAGCGAGAAATGCGAAGTTCAATTAACCTACCTGCAATCTGCAATACAAATTGAAGTCGATTACCATCAGCGTTGATCCTCTGGGTTGTAATACTGTGTGGATGTGTAGTTTCATAGGAACATACTGCCTTCACATGATGTTATGACTGAAAACCAGCGTTGATATCTTTACTGGTGAAAGAACCTTGGCTCGTAAGAATTAGTTTGCTTTTTGTATTTGTACTGTCATACATTAATCAAATGATCCTTTATAACTCAAGGATGATTAATAGTGAAAGTAATTAACCCCCTCAGCAAGTTGTGGTATTCCCCATGAAGATGATCGCGCGATTTTTCCATCATCATCTTCGCAACCCTTGTCTTTGTAGCACGTTCTTCCTCTTCTGTATATTAATCAGAATTGGAATCGCATATTATTCGAGCTTCAATTCCATCAACCCGCAGTCGGTGTTTCGTGGCCGTGTTACAAACCCAGCGGCACGAAAGACTTCCTTGTGTGATGACATGACCAAATGATAAGAAATGTCTCTCTGAGAAATGGTCTGGAAGGTTGCGTGTTGTCTTTGCCGGTGGCGTCGGAATCTGTAGATAATATAGGCGGGATTTTAGCCTTGGGGTGCAGCACTGTTCGAATTCTTTCACACATAATACTAGCTGTCGCTGCAGAGGCTGATATTGGAGCAGTGTATGATTTTATAATGCAGAACCACACTGTGAAGAATAAAAGTTCTTTTTTCAAAGTGAATGCCAAAAATTTAAAGCAAAACAAAAGTATATCGATTTTGTCTCGTCTTTTACGGATCTGACGTTGTAATATATGGTACTACGATCTTCTTCATAAAGACAGTTTATTTCATTTGTTATCGTAAAAGTTGCGATAGTTCCAGGTTTTTTAATTACACGCTTAAAATTATTAAAACGCTCTGAAGCCGCTGGTGATTAAGTTACCGCCATCTGCACATACTGTGACCAATTAAATACCTAGGCACTTAACGTTAAAGTTTCCTTCAGCATCAGTTTAAGTAATCACATTTATGCATTTCATTTCTCTGTCGTTTGGCCATTCTTTCTCAAGGTCATTGATATAAAATTTGTAATTTTTTTTTTCCTGTTGCAGTAAATCAGCTACAAGATGAACTACAGGCAAAGGCATGTCCACCTCCACCACTGCCCCCTCCTCTTCCACCATGTCCACCCCCTCCACCAGTATCCTGCCCTAGAACCTTCGCTGTGTCTTTGAGACAGGGAATTTGTACTTCCGCTACAGACGTGGGCTCAAGCGTGGAGACTGGGAACCCAGTGCTAGAGATGGCCAACATGCTGGGCATCTCTCGCAAACCCTCGGCAGCTGCTGCGTTGCCTGGTGGTGAGGACTCGCGCCAATTACGAGAAGTCGCAGCACAGACCTATAATTTATTTTTGTACATTGTTTACTTTATGTTCATGAATGTTTCATTTCTGAAATGTGAGAGATTTAAATTAAATTTGGTTCTGTGGTTATGTACAGTATAAATTTTTAGGCATGTTCTGATCTGTATCATTTCAGTATTTCTCCTGTAAATCAAACATTATCATATTTTACGAAGGACTCATTTTTGAAAAAAATGATTTTACGTGAAATCATGATCTCACTAAAATCTATAAAATTTATTTGAAATGTTTTCTTTGCATTTGTTATGAAGAATTATATTTATAAATGGCTTATAAATATTTATTTCAGGTGCCATTGATGACATCATTAACCAAATTAAGGGAGGCAAATTCACGCTTAAAGCCACGGAGGTAAGAAACTTTTTGTGGTGTTCTTATTGTCACTTAAATTTTTGTAATAAGGAAGTTTTTATTTAGTGATCATTTGCTGTTAAAGATTTTCAGCCTTAAGGGATAACTTTTGTGAATGGGTGAATGAACATTCTGTTGAGCGTCATATGTCTTGTTATATTTTCACCGCAGAAACAAAAGGAGGAAAAGAAGGAGGAACCACCAGCTGCAGTTCAAGAAATGCTCAACATACTGGGGACGTTGAAACGCCGACGACGTAACTCCCCACAGAAGTCGAGATGGCCCGCGCCTGCAGATGTCACTCTGTAAATAATTATCAGTTAGCTGATAACTTATTTCTATGAGTGTCAGAAGAGTTTCTAAAGTGGGCATCGTAATCGGCTGTGAAAATTTTGTGAGATCTGATTTTCTGCACAAAATAATTTGTTTCTTATTCAAAAGGCAGCAACAAAGATTTTGTCTTGCCAGTTTTGTTTGAACTACGAAATTTCAGGTTGATTTCTTTGCTCCTTATATCTTATAGTAGTTATTGTGATGGTATTTGGTTTGAGAATTTTTATGCTTTGACAAGAATATGAAAATTATTATTATTACTGTAATATCATTGAGTACTATTATGAAAATTGGTCATCCAGTGTCTGATACACGTGTGCTAGCGAAGTGAAAAAGATAGTCAGGGAAATGTCTAACAATTACAGGAATTTATGTTGTCGACTATTATGCTTTGAGAAAATGTGTTTTTAAGTAACCCTAAAGCAGTGCTAAAATGAAAGTTGTTAACACTTTGTAAACATAAACAAAGATTGTTAAGAAGCATTAAGTCCTGTTTACTGAAGCTGGAAAAATATGTGTGGCAGAAACATTGAAACTCTAGAAAGTTTTGATGGCATCAAACATTTGTCAGTTTTGTTGTACGTTTTTTATTTTAATAAATAATTTTAATTCCCAAGTCTGCCACAGCTGGCAAGTGACCAGTTGAATACTGGATTTGAATTTAAGATGAACAGACCTCGGAATTAAGAACTCTGGACACCGTTACATCATCCGAAGGGTAGTGGCACATTAAAATATTAAAGTTTTTATTTAATATCTTTTGAATTTCACTAACCCGACCTTACCGAACATAACCGTAATCTACCTTTAAGCTAGTATAACTGAACCAAACCCAACCTAAAATAATTCAACTTAACCTGATTCAATCTGATATAACCTAACCTAACCTAAATGCTAGCTGAGTTAAGAAGCACAACTAACCTAACCTAACCCAACCAAACTATTGAACCTGATCAAGCCCAACCCACCTTAACTTAACCAAATTTAGACCACCACTACCCAATCCAGAGGGGGCCTGTTTTCCATAAGGCATATTTGCCATGTAAAAACAATAGCAAGGGCAACTAGTAACCATGGTGACTAAGAGAAAGGCAACCAAGATACCCATAGTAAAATTGTGATGAGGGTAACCATGGTGGCCATGGTAATCAAGGAACACACAGTAGCTGACAAATTAACATATAACTGTGGTTACCAAAGTACCCATGGTACAAAGGCAAACAGTAGTGGCCAGGGTAGCTGTAACAATGGCAGTAGAAGGGAAAGATGGTAAGTAATCCAGCAATTGAATTATGCACAAGCAGACAGCCTTTTTTCATCTGCTTTTGCTTTGATGTATTTGGAATTTCATATTTTTTATAATTGAGATGATTCTCAGGACATTTATTGAAGGTATCATGTCAGAATGGTGTTTGAATAATCAGTTAATTCATTTGACAACATAAAACATTTACTCTACTGTTATAATCAGTGCCATGTTTAAGGTCCCATTGATTTCATGTTATGTTTATCATTTTCCTACACCTTTAAAACTGTGTACAGGTAATAAATTTTAATGTGTACCTGTACATAAGTCAGATGTTTGATAAAAGTCATAAAACACGTTATCAGTCACATAATACAAAAGGGAAATTTTTATTAATGTTTTACTACATTGATCTGGAGGAGGCTTCATGAAAAATATTTCTTAAGTAAGATTACAATCATAAAATCAATTGCACATTATACTTAATACATTTTAAAACGAAATACTGTATTTAAATTACCTTGCTTGCATCTAAGACTATGAATTTGCAATGCTAATGATCAATAACCTTGGTTTGTGAGACTATTTTGTCATTAATAGCATTTAGGGATCTAGTTATCACATAAAACAAGGCATTACAAGGAACTGTGCCTGACTGGTTTTTACTACTTCAGTTATTGTGTTCACGTACATACATTTAATACCATAAACTGATTTCAATGCGTATTTTACTATCTTTATAACATTCAATTTCACGCTGATTTAATCTCCTCAAAATAGCACATGGAGGAAAATTTGTAATTCAAGAGATTTGCAAATGTACTGCCTAATGTTTATGTTGTAAAATATCTAATGAACGTGCGAAACACATGCCGAATGCAGTGTTGCTGATCGTTGAGGCCGGTGGTACATGTTCCCAGTAGACTTGTTAGGGTTAATAATAATAATAATAATAATATAGAAGGTCTGTTGCCATTGTCAGTGAGATATTTTACTTATTTATTTATTTACTGGGACTGTAAAAATAATAATGTCACAATTGCTTAACTGTTTTGTAATGGGATAATTCAATATAAGCAGTAATATATATTTTGAGGTTAAAGGAAATTTATTTCAGGAAAATTCCATTCAAACAGAATATAGGCCAGAGAGACAGATTTGATGGCAAGACAAGTCGAGATGTTTCGTATTTTATGATGTCATATTACAGTAAGAATTGCCATAGATGTGTCAGGTGTGTGCAGACTTTGTAGGTTATGTCTCTCATTTCATTTGTGGATGTAGTTGGCCTAAAACTTTAGGATATATGACCATTTTAGTAAAGATAGCTGCACTGAACTCTGAAAATCAACGAGATGAAAGCTGTTATAGGTTATGTATTAGACATTTAGAAATGTTAGTAGACTTACACAGAAGTGAGACAATAATTGAAAAAACATTTATTTTCGAATCAATTTTATATACGTATTTTGAATACAGGAAATCAAATAGAGTGCTGATAGGTTAGTAAAATTTATCATTTCACTGGAACAGTTGAATTAATTATATTACTCTCCATAGGATTGTGTACGTTTGACTCAACTTAACTGTTTTTGAAATAATCTGTGCAAACATAAACGTAAATAAGCTCAGATGTCCCAAAATTCAACAGGAGTTAACTTTTACAATTATGGCATCGGCAGTTTGGTTCCTGTGACCTGATATTAGAGTATTTTGAGGAATAAATACTTCCATACCTTAAAATCATGAACATTAAGTGCTGTTGCTGAAAACCTCAGATCCTACTAGGCATTACTTGATTGGTATTGTCCACTCTCTAGTATTCTTGTCTGTCTAGAAATCCAAGAATATTAATTTTGTTTTCATTAATATCCCCCCCCTCCCAAAAAAAAAATTGGAGCTTCAGATGAGGAACAGTATGAAAGCCAGATTCAAGATAAATCTGAAAATGATCGTGGCCTGATTTTTGGAAATTACGTTTAAGAAAATGAAGACAAGAACATTGCTCATTGCTTCCAGAGACGTACAACAATACTCATTAGCTCAAAACTATTAAACCTAGGTGTCGATTTGTTTGAGATCTGAATGTGCGGACGTGTATTTTGAAAGTTGGTGATACCGTTGTCTAAAGGAGAACCATGTAACGTGGAGTAACAAAAGTTAACCTTTCGCGATCGCATCCATAAGTACTTTATCAAAGGTGTAATTAATCCTGAGAACAAGGGGATTGTTTATGAGGTGCAATAACTTACAGACTCATAATATTTAATAGACCTATTCACTTTGAACATTTAAATGCAATAGTTCTGTATAAATAGTGGAGGAAGTGGTCGTATTTGTCACTTAACAAAATCAGCCATGATCCTGTTACTACTGACTTCAGGCTTCTTCCTGTCGGTAAGTGTAAGGTTTCGCTGCTAATTTTAGGTTTGAATTTTTAACTTAACAACGCAGCAAGGTTGAGCTTCCAGTCACCACCTCACGTTATTACCAAATACTTTCCGATCACAATCTGTTGGCCTACTAGTGGAAATTACGTGCCGAAATTAATAAATTTTGTGTTGGATATTGCACCTTGTATCTGGTCGACATTTACCGATGTTTCAGGGTGATTATTTGCCTCCATCATCAGGGCTATCCATCGCCCAGAAGGCAGTGATCTTCATAATGACAGAACTTTGTTATTCAACCTAATGGCGAGCGGTTTAAATATAATTTCAATAATATTTCCACTTTGCTCGGTTTACAGACTTCTTAATAAGGTCTGTGTTTTCAGGTTGAGGCTGTTTATCACAGTAACTGGCATCATCCTCACGGTGTCGTCATACCTTATGGTGAGTTGACGCCTTGTAAGGCATCCCTACGTTCAGCAACCACGCACATTTTCTCAGGAACGGAAAGAAAGTGGCTAAGTTATGTTCACGATAGTTAAATTAAGTTGGATAAATTTTGTGACCAACGGGGGTAAAATTAACTTAATTTCTGCTTTTCAGAATACAGTGGTCTTTACTACCGAGTCCTACCAGAAGGTAAAGAAGGTTTCCTTTGTATCGGTAATAGGTTATGTAATTTATCGAGATTATTTCTTACAAATATCGTAATGCATAGGCAAGTGTCGCACCTTATTTTATTTTGTAAATATTAATGAACTGATAATGAGATTTTTCTTTATTTCAAATCCAAAATAGTTAGGCAATGCTCTTGAAATACGAATCTATAACTTGACTCATTTGTCTGTTGCAGAACGTAGTGACGACATGTATTTGGGAGGTAAGAACATTTTAAACTTTTCATTTGTCTTAAAACACCCAATTTTGGACCCGGGACAAATGGTTCTCCTGCAGGGCCGGGCCGTGTATAATTCTAAAATGTCGGCCAGTGCAGACCCCAACCGGATGTCGTGGCTGTAACACCATAACCCTTTCTTATGAAATTGTATCATAGCATTTCCTCACGCCACGTGACGTTGAAGTTAATATTACATTAAGATCGATTATATAATCGACGAGTTTCACCTTTTGAACTTCGTGTGAAAAACACGTCGACTTTTTACATACAAATCGATATTACTTACTTTCTGTATCGCAATACAAAATGCAAAGCTTTTATAGGACAAGACATTCACACACAACAGAACAATAGATTTAGAATTCGCAAATAGGCCTGCAGCTAATAAACTTTTATTGCGAGGTAATATCGTTTTAAATTCTGCAAAAATTATTGATCTGACCTATAAATGTCATTTAAAAACTAATTATAATAAATAATGCGTACAATTGAAATGACGTTCGCCATAGATGAATAAATTATCGTGGCTAGGTTGAGGTTAGGTTCAGTGTACGTGATACCAGTGAAACACGAAATTAAGACAGAAGATTTTTAACATTTGGTTTTTCCCCCCCCTTAAATAGTAACCAGGTTAACATGGACCCTCGATCCCCGTAGCAGCTCAAACACTTTTGCTTGTAGAAGGTAAAATTTTGTAACCATTGACATCCGTTTGGCAAAGCATTGCAACAATGGTTGCTCTCGTCAGCTCGGCCATGCTCCATTCCTTAGTGTAGTAATCCGCGCGTTGGCGTCTACAATTTGTCATAAAAAATGTACATTTTGTATTCAGATACTGGGTTTATCACGTTTACAATTTATGTTGTAGTAAGTCATTGTTATTTCAAACGAAATGCTTGACTTCATTACAGGTTCTACTGTTTCCTTAAGTGTGCGATAAATAGCCATGATTTCCTTTCAGCTTATTGGCTACCGTCCAGCCACGCACTGTTCGTGAGAGCGATTAGACAAGGTAAGTGTGAGGTTACGTCTTCACCATTCTATTATCCATTTTACAATACTACAAAACAAAGTCGTCAAATTTAATTTTAATGTATCTTAGACTTAAGAAACTCTATTCTGCTTAATTTATAACTTGAAAATAACACGCCATTTTGTGTAATGTGACAATAATAGTATTCTTGTGGTCTTCGTAAGTTAGAATTAATAAATAATAATAATTATTATTATTATTTAAATTTAATATCTCGTTGTTCTTAAGTTATGTAGCTACGCTGTTTTAATTGCAGGAGTATATAAAATTTATTTTATACACAGTTAACAACTTAACTTAGTTAAATAGTTTTATTCTGCGTGCTGTGTATTTCGTCATTGTTTACGAAAATGATTGTTTTTTTGATTTTTCCTTTCAGAAACACCTCAAATGCTAATAGACCGTGAGTATGAAACTTCGTGTATTCGTAGGCTGTTTAGGGTGAAAGTTCATTTGGATATTCTTTGACATGTTCTGACGTAGATTCTTACTGAAGTAATACGAAGTTTAGTCATTTCGTACGAATGTATGGAACGGTGGAAAATACTTATAAATGTACCACCATCGGAATTCGAAGTGTCCTTGAGGTCAAAGACCTCGTGGTCACTGCAGATATAAGTATTATTTATTTTTATAGTGAAAGAAAGTTAAAGTTTGTGGTAAGCAGCTTTTGAGACAATGTAACAGAGTTGTTTTGGTTTCAAAGGTTGCATGACGTCGAAATAACTGAAATGGAACACATTATGTCCTGTGAAATGATATTGTTGGAATAGTGGAAAATACAACTTGGCTGTGTTCTATTAACAATGTATTTTAACGTGTTTCTAGATGATTATCAACGTGTTGTCTCTCAAGCATCAAATCCAAGGGAATTATATATTTGTAAGTATTTTGGTCTCACTTTAACTATTATTAAATGTATTGTACAATTTTTTGTTGAATACTGAAAATGCCGTCTAGAGACGCAGTGAATTTAGTCGAGTCTGGTAATAAAGAGAAATGGAGCATAGATTAAAATATAAAGTCGTTCTTTAGTTACAATGCGAAGTCTTTCTGAATATCAGTGCGTTCTTTAGACGTAGGGAGGCGTGCAAATCCCCCCCCCCACCATCTGTACCATACTTCCCCTAACGCGCAGGACAACTGACACTACAAAATAATTGAACTGTGTTAAAGCAGCTGATATTTCATATTGCAAAATTTTGTTTTGCTTGTTCGAACAGATGATGTCACACCAGGTTATAATATGAGTAAGTGTTCGGAATAATTAATTAGCCTGTTAATTAAAATTCACCGCGACTTTATCTGATCAGAGTTTATATTGTAATTTATTTATAACATACGCGAATGATTTCCGGCTGAACGCGACGCACAGAAATTAAGTATCCACTCATACGTCAAAACTTTACGTAAATATCTTTCTCGGACGTGATAATAACACGTGCATTGCCCGTCGATATATATCGAAATACATCACAGACATTAGGAAAAAAAATACGATTTAAGTGAAATTGTGATAGTTCTAATTACCGACGAGTTTTGAATGAGGTCTCTGTGATCTTTTCTGTCGCCAGGAAGAACTCCATGTCTGTGAGACGAATCGAGCACCGAAATGAAATGCATCCCTGATTTATCGCAATGCCCGATGCTTAAAATGTGTCCGCATTTTACGAATTGTGACTCGTTATTTCAAACATTCTTTACAGCTGTCATGAAAGACCCCGAATCAGTCCAAAAGGAAATTCCTGAGATACAACAATCCATGAAGGACTTTGGTAAGCTGTAAATCCGCTCATTGTTGTTGGTGTTATTTCATTTGTTCCGCTAGAATTTTCTCGCATTTTTGAAGACTATTTTTTAACATATAAAATCACGCATACGTACAAAACTGTTTACACTTTGAAAGTGCCAAACGCCTTTCGACTTCAAGAGTTCATCATCAGTGACAAACAAATTAATTCCTGAGATGATAATGTTGCGTCATATTATGATGATTATAATTGTTTAATTTTAACCGTCTAATCACAATAAAATATTTTATTAAAATATTATTACTACAATTAACATTTAATGTGATAACAGAGTACAATTGATCTAGAAGAGGATAACTGATATTTAATGGACATCTGACGAAGGATTGCATTTAGAATATTACATTTGAATTTATATCGATTATACACCTGAAGATGGTTCATTGAAAACCGAAACATGTCGTGAAAAAGATGATGCTCTAATTGTAAATCGAACATTTCGATAGAAAGAGCATCATTTTAATATATTTTAAATATTAAATGTTAATTGTAGTAATAATATTTTAATATTTAATAAAATATTTTATTGTGATTAGACGGTTAAAATTAAACAAATTAATTCCTATTAAATCATACAATTCATAAGACGATGGTTTGGACAGTGCAGTAACTCTATTTAGATAATACACCAACTCTTGTACTACAATTAACGTCCAGTATTACATAAAGCATGGTTTTATAAGGTGGTTTATAAAACCATGTGTGAAGTGTCCCAATCATCGGGCAGATAACCTTCACCTAGTTACGAGCCCCGGACTGCAACCTTCGACGCACACGTGACGAGCTCATACAAGAACAATAATTTTCACAATGGCACGATGAGAAATGCTTAAGGAACTGGAAACGACGCATAGCGAAATAATTTAAAACATTGTCCCGGTATTTGAATGGAAGACTGAGAAAAATCACGAAACGCCTCACGTTTTGACCGCGTAATCTGAGAATTTCTGATCTCCGTGTTTCCCTGCCCTGAGCCAGATTAATCCAGTCCATACCATCCTATCCTATAACTCTAAGGTACATTTTAATATTATCCCCCCATCTACGTCTGGGTCTTTCCAGTGGACTCTTTCCTTCTGGTTTTACCCACCAAATCCTACATGCATTCCTCTTTTATAACCTGCCCATCTCATTCACCTCGACTTGATCGGTCTAATTATATTTGACGTGAGTAAAACTTACGAAGCTCCTGACAATGCCTGAGAAAATAGTGTTTATTACATAAAAATGGAACTTATTTACGATTTATTAATATATTTAAAGCTAAAGGTCATTGCTTGGATATACAGGAAGTTATTTTTGATTGACTTTCAGTTGTCGCCGTGGAAAACAAGATTGGAAAAGCCAAGGATGTTGGTGAGTTATGATTTTGTAACTGAAATTTATGTTTCTGCAATTACCGCACCTCCTAGCGGCAGAAGCTCGTACTACATCCGGTTCGCCCTCTATTGACACAGTCTTGAAACTTTCCGATCGCACCTCGTATATGTCCCAGATGCTGTATTCTGAATCAGATGACAAAGTAGTCCGCGTAATTGTTTATTGTACGAGGAAATTCGGGACATTATTGTTTTTACGATTCTGATTGTGAATTCTATTTCAGTTGACGACCCGAGACAGTTCTTCACCGTCATAGCACCGAAATGTAAGTAGGATTTGTAGTTTTTAATACACTTGCATATTAAAATGTGTTTTAATTATTTTAATTTGCGACGTTAACAAAATTCGTTACAAATGTTTTAGACAAGAACTGGTTCGTAACAATGTACAACACGTAAATAGGTCGTTGAAAATGTGGCCTATATAGAACAATCGATAAAGAGACAATATGACTTCGAGTAGTCGAGACATTTTCAGCACGAACATACAAATGTAAACGTATGGCATACTAGACGATGCCTATTCGTTTGTGACATTCTGTCTTATTACGTCTTTCATACCAGCTTCGCTTCGCTTAGAAGCAGTGTTTTGTTTTGTGTTTTGTATTTTTGCCGGCGTGTACACTGCCAGGAAGCTGATCTGTATAGAGGTTTAATTGTTGTTATGTTTTATATTAAGAAACTAAGACGCAATTTATAGATGTTTCAGTAAAATATGAATTAGAACCTAGGATAAAACCGAATTATTAATTCAGTTATATATATGAACGTCAAAAACAATTGTGCACGATTATACTGCTGACAGAAACTGGGCCCGTTTTGATTCCAATAATGTGCGTTTTACAGTCACTAAATCTTCTTGTAAATGATGTAATTGTGTTTCAGTGTTTATGGCAGTAAAAGCACTGGAATTAGGTAAGTCCGCTTAAACCTTTTACTTACATAACCAAATTTCTACTCTGAAACAGAATTTTACTCGCTTGCACATAACACGATGTATTCATGCGCATTAACAAGCGAATTATGTTGAGTTTACCAGTAGTACAATGGAACATGACCCCAATGACAGATAATTTCAGAGCAACGTTGCCAAAAGATTTGGAAATAAAATGTAATTACTTGCTCCAGTTTATTTGTAAATACCTTTCTTTCAGGAAATGGTAGTGATTTTTCCCGAATTACGTGTTGTTACTTCTGTATTCGCTTTTAATTTATAAGTAACATTTCCTTCGTTTCTCTTTCCTTAGATGGATTTTTACGTGAATCTTTTACACAAATCGGAGTTCCTGGTGAGTAGTATTGGTTTGAATCGTGCATTATCGTAATTTATTTCCAAAAAATGCGATATACTTCTGTTAGAAAGTATATTAATCTGTATGCAATACAAATTATTCTGTGCTCTATTTAATTATAACTGCTATAAGTCACTCTATGTTGAAAATAAGGACGATTTTTGAAAATGTATAGGCTGTGTTAAAATATCGCCTTTCAGCTGTTATAAATCTTGTTTTATGAATCTACTTCATCTGTTGATATTATAATACGAACATGTCGATTTTAATTTCAGATTACATGTTTAAAAGTCTTTATGCGATGGTGTTAGAATATCCAGAAAGGCTCTTTTCAGAAGGTATGTGACCCACTCTTGTAAAAATTAGGTGTCTATCGTCGTCTATTTTTCTATTTCAGTTCAATGACCGTTTGTAAATTATAATTATATTCAAAAATGTTTTTAATCTTCCAAGTGACCACTCTTTTCCAAATGTCAAGCCATTTGTAGCGTCAATGATTTATTTACGGAAATCGAGAATTTTGTAGTTTTAATAATTCTAATACACCGTAGTCGCCGATAACTATTATGAGGTCTTTTCTCGTTTAATTTCAAGATGGGAGAGTCGAAGTAGAGCAGACGCTGCATCTCAGTCCTGGTACAGTGCAGAGGCTGAAGAAATATTTGCTCGAAGAAACAACTATTTACGACACTTTCCGTAGATACATGGATCGAAATATTGGTAAGTAAAAATTTGGTCTGGAAACTGGAAATCTAAAGGAGAAGCCGATTCCTTCTTATGTTTTTTTTTTTTTTTTCAGAATTGTTACTACATGATATTTGGAGGCACGACTTTGTAAAGAAATTGCGTAATTGAAAAATCACATCACCGATATAACTTTCTTTAAATTCGAAGCCACGTATTCAACATAAATACACAATATAAGCCTATAACTTCTTTAGATTAATAAATTTAATTGTTTCATACTTCGATCTTCGTTCTTTTTGTTGTTGAAGAAGAATTTAAGGTAACAAATACGTGTCTTCATAACAATGAAGTCTAATTGTGGAACCCCGAGTTTTGTCTCTGTCACGAATAATTACCGTCAGAATTGTTATAAAAATATAACCTAACTTTTATGAATGGTTTATTATTGTTGTTATTATTATGATTATAGGACCTGAAGAAAACAAAGGACAGGAACGTGCTCAGGAGGGTAAGTTGTTATGAAGTGTTGCAGTATAAATTGTAAGTCTTTCCACGCTGAAATTACCTTTTGAGGTTAGGTTCAGTTCGTGAACCGTACAAATTACTTAGCTTCGACACGCAATTTTTTGACGAAAACACGAATCATGAAGAAATCACAATAAGTTGAATAACAAACATGAATTTTAAAAGTTTTATTTATTTCTTTGCGGGTGGAAATATTGACGTAAGACTAATAGAAGTATTTTCAATTTTATTTTTCAGTTTGGAAAATAATGAAGGATGCTGAACGTAAGTAATGCAAAACTTTGGTTAGTACTTACGTCTTTATATTTAACTTTTAACATGCGTCTATGAATGGAAAACTAAAGTCTGTTTATTTTGTGTGTTCCAGTTATCAAGAAAGTGCTTATGGAGCACAATGTGACGAGTAAGTAGCCTTAAACTTTGCGGGTGTTTAAGATGTTTATCTTCTTGGTTAAGGATGCCTTGAAGATGGAAGTAGTTTGTTCTTCCGAAACGTTGGTAACAACATGAAAGTCTGCTTGGTATCACAACCCAGAAGACCGAACACCGGTCATAGAAACCTTAAATCTCAAATAAGCGTTCGCAGATTTGATCAAAATTTTGTGATCGCTCGTCTTGAAGAGACAGTGAACACGTGACTTTGCTTTTTTATGTTTCAGTTGATGAAGCCAGTCGCGAGTTCAAGAAAGTTCTGCAGAATCCTACGCTGCTTCATACTGATGGTAATATCATTGCATTTTACGAACCTCAAGGAAAATATATCCTGTGTTAATGGTTAAAGCGACATGAGTCCCCAAAGATTTTTAACCTGCACTTCGAATTACCTGTAATTTAATTAAACTATATTCCCTCCGCGTCAATAGAAAGCGTGAATTGCTTAATCATTTACATTTACATTTTTGGAAATATCAGAAAAAACTTTTTTTTAGTAAAAAAAAATTCTGAAAATTGTTTTTAGTTTCGCACAGCTCTCAGGGGTTCACTTTGCCCTTTCGCCGGTGATATGTAATGTGTCCTCATACAAAGTGGCTCAGAAATATGACCGTTTATCAAACAATGAAAAAATGTAAACGCTCAGCGAACTTAAATGAGACGTTTCAAGTTGTGTTGAATGTAATTAAATACTTTTGTTCATTTCTACCGTCTTTTTGTTTTTAAAAAAATATTTTTTTTCGCTAATCTGTATGTGTATTTGACGATTAAATGTTTTCGACAAATTTTAATCACCCTGTATTCTTCAGGTGGGTATTATGTAGTGAAATGATAATGTTTCATGTTGCAGGATCCATGTCACTTGGTTCCGACGCAGCTGCCAGGGCAGTTGAAGAAATAGTGAAACAAATGCAAGTCCAGGAATCTGGCGTGGATGAAACTATGGAGCAAATGATGATGTGAGAAGCGTCACGACGCTTTTGTGTGTCATAGACATGTAGTGAACTGTGGTTATGCAATAAACAGTGAAGCACTGAAAAATTCTGTTTCATGTTTCTTCAATACCCATTAAATTTAATATATAACATTTAAATTGTGTGTGTATTCCCTTGTAGCTTGAGAACGGATTTGTATTAAACTTGGCATGCTTATTCCGTGAGAGATTTTTTAAAAAAAACTCAAAACTGAAAAAAAAAGTTTTCATGAATTTTGAGTATTGGTGAAGATGGTTTCGATAGGTCGAAAACTAATCATGATCGAAGAACAGTGACACGAGGAGACTTCACAGCACAGCACAGCACTCCAGAATAACGTTTTCATTGTCATTACTCGGCCTTCTTGAATAGGTACGCACTTGGGAGATCTAGGAATAGATGGGGATGATGTTATTAACATGGATCTTAAAGTAAACGAGTGCTTGAGTATGGACTGGCACTGAACACAATAACAGAGCATTGAATGCAGGACAATTTTGGCGGGGAGCATTATTAGACACACTTTTAAAACAATTGCTTAGAAGTTTATTAAACATTCCATGGTACTTGCTGGTTATCGGGACACATCGCTTTAAAAATAGGTTATGTTATGTTATGTTGTTGTTCTGCAAGATTGTTTACGGCACCTCAATTTCACTCTATCACTGAAATATAGTTTCGTAATAACCTAACCTAACCTTACCTACTTTTAAAGCGATGTGTACCGATAACCCACAAATACCCATTCGATTGAGCTCGTGTAAGTGTGGTTTTCTGTCTGAATATTGCAAGTCAGTTCGTTTATTCTTGCCATAATCCAGATTCTAAGCAAAATAGTGTTGCATGTTGCTACCAACCTAAGTGATCTGTGTTCCATTGAATGGGATGGCGGGTGGGACCCAGAATTGGTGTGGACGTGGTGACGACTACAAAAATACCTGCAGGGAATATGCACTTGAAAAAGCGTCATTAAATGAACAAAATCCAAAGCGACTGTTATTAATCCAATCGTTCATCTACAC